TGCGTTGCTGCTGCTGCTGCTGCTGCTGGTTGTTGTTGCGAATCGGTAAGAGAGATAAGAGCTGTCCCACTGATGCCACTTGTGCTGCTGCTGCTGCTGCAACGGCTTTTGCCACTGCTGCTGCTGCTGCTGCTGCTGCTGGTGCTGCTGCTGCTGGTGATGCTGCTGGCGCTGCTGCTGCGGCAGTGATGAAAGCTGCTGTCGGGGCGAAGCATCTGTGGTTCTTTCTCGGGCAGGGGCAGCAGCAGCAGCAACAGTGTGCGCTGCAGCAGCAGCTGCTGCAGCTGCTGCCGCTGCTGTTGTCGCTCCTGCTGCTGCTGCTGCTGCTGTAATTTCTACGCGCCCTGTTGGTGCTACAGCCGATGCTGCTATGGGCCTTGGTGCTGCGAACGCTGCTGCAGCAGCACTTGCTGTTGGCTGTCTGCTGCCTGCTGCTGCAGCAGCATGTAAGGCAACAGAGACAGGAGCAGCAGCAGCAGCAGCAGCAGCAGCAGGCACAGCAGCTGCTTCCATGGTCCTCAGTCGGGGCACATTCGAGTCCGGCTGGGAATTTGCCTGTTGAAATAGCTGCTGCTGCGGCTGCTGCTGCTGTTGCTGTTGCTGTTGCTGTTGCTGCTGCTGCTGCTGTTGTTGCAGTTGCCGCTGCTGTTGTAGTAGGCGCTCCTTCTGGCGCAGAAGTTCATGCTGCTGCTGCTGCAGCAGCCGCAGCAGCCCTGCCTGCTGCTGCTGTTGCTGCTGCGCTGCAACCTTGCTCCTGCTCTTTAGCTGGAACGCCATCGGGTGTTTGACAGTTCTGAAGGAGGCGGAGTGCCCTTGTCTCTGCTGCTGCTGCTGCTGCTGCTGCTGTTCCTGCTGCTGCTGCTGCTGCTGCTGCTTGGGGAGGCTCAGCAGCAGCAAGGTGAGAAGAATATGCATGCGAGTTGAGGATAGGCAGCAAACGCAGAGGGGATTTCGTCCGCAGCCCCCTTGGTGCGCATTCCTGCAGCACCAACCGCTGCTGCTGCTGCTGCTGCTGCTGCTGCTGCGGCTGCTTCTGCTGTTGTTGCTGCTGCTGCTGCAGCGGCTTCGGAGAGGCAGAGAAGTAAGGTGCTGCAGCAGCAGCTTCTTTCTGTGGTATCCGCAGCGCGCGCTGATTTGGGTTTGCTGCTGCAGCACCTGTTGCAGCAGAGGCAGCAGCAGCTGCTGCTGCAGCATCTGATGCTGCTGCTGCTGTTGCTGCTGCTTCTGCTGCTGCCACTGCTGCTTTGGCAATTTCGCCCAAAGAAGCAACTGCAGCAAGAAGGTCCTTTGCTGAGCGGCCCTCAGGGTCGCCACTCCAGCCACTGCTGCTGCTGCTGCTGCTGCTGCTGCTGCTGCTGCTGGCGTTTTGCTGCTGTTGCTGCAGCAGTACCCACAGTTCGGTTGCTATGGGCTCGACGAGCGGCAGATAGCTCAGGCCTAGCAGGGCTGTCCCCCCTCTGCTGCTGCTGTTGCTGCTGCTGCTGCTGCTGCTGCTGCTGCATGCATTCTGCAGCAGCTCGCGCAGCTGCGGCAGGTGCAACACAGCGGAGTGTACAGACACCGCGATGAGTTGCTGCAGCAGAGCAGCAGCTTGGCTGTATTGAGGGGAGGCGCGCTGCAGCAGCAGCAATCTATGCCTCTCTCTTGCTGCAGCAGCAGCAAGGTATGCTGCAGCACAACCCGTGAGTTCAGGTGTATAGGCAGCTCGCCGCCGCTGCAGCGCAGCAAGCAGCACCCTCATGGCCTCCGTGTTGCTGCAGCAGCAAAGCAGCGCTAAACCCAATCTCGTCTGGCTCTGCATATCAGGTGATAGCCGCACT